GTGGAGGTGTGTGAACTTTTGATTGGTCGTTGCCACCGGGGCTGTGTACCTGATTTGATTTACGGCCTATGCCTGTTTTGGAGCTTCCTGCAGCCCTTGCTTCCCCCCTCTCCTCCGTGTCTTCTTTCTTCCTCAGTCCTTTACATTTCTTACTTTTACCACTACCATCACTATTTAAAAGCAAAGCAAAGAAAATAAAAGTAATCATATCTGCTCTCTCATTCCTCCCTTGAGCTAGGACATGACTGAGCCCAATCCTGGGCTCAGGGTTGGTGAGAGGTGTCTTGACTTATAGGTCGATATTGGGATTTTAAAACCAATATCTGGACCATGCTTATTTTTTCTTTGATAAAGGAGATTAATTTGTTTAGAATGCAAGGTCTTATAATTACTAACAGCAGGAGTAGGGTTACTGGCCCAATTGTAGATATTAGGGTTGTTAACCAAGGGGACCAATTAAAGAGGGATTCATACCAACTCTGTGACTGTTCTTGTTCTCATTTACGTTTTTGTAGTCTGCTTTTCACTAGTACTATTGATTATTGTTAAATGGTTAACATAAAAACAGCATTCTTCTTTCAGGGCAGCACATAATTCACTTTGTTGTAAGAACAACAGGTCTAACCCTCTCCTATTTTGAAGCATTACTTCGGCTAAGGAGGTCAAAGATTCTTGGAGATGTGAGATAGCTTTTATCTTTTCTAGATCTAAGTCTATAGCTGCACTTAAGGCCTTATAGTTTTGGTCTTGGAAAACAAGAGCTGACACTCTTGCCCCTATGCCACCAATACTTAGAATTGCAGCGAGGGTAATGGCTGTGACAGGTTTTCTCTGGACTCGGGGAAATCTTGTTTCTAAAAATATAGTTTCTTTTTTATGATAGGTAAGCTTGGGGATTAACTGTACTAATATACAGAAATCTTGGGTTAAATTTAAAACTTGGGTGTGTAGGCAGGGAGTCAATCCAGTTGTACATGCCCACCACCCATAGCTAGGTGGAATGAGGTACCCCGTCCCATTTCAGTGGTGGACTTTATTACATAGGCGTTTGTGAGAAGGGGTCTTTTTTCCAACCCAAGTTCCTTGTCCTGCAACAGATTGTAAAGTGAGATGGGACTGGTGTGCTGCTGCCAACGGCAAGCTATTGGCTCAGTTACTAGAGTAAAATTATCTGGAAGGGCTATTCCTTCATAATAAGGGGGCTTTATATCTAAACATAGCCAGCAGGATTCAGTGAGATCTGGTCTAGACTTATTTAGCACTTGGTAGGTTTTAGTGAGGATGTCCTAGAGTGGGGGCTCAGAGTCAGTTGTTTTTAAATTTGTGGTGGTATTATTATTTAAATTCAGTTACCAGATAGGGTTTGGTCCTACTACTATCGGCTTTTTATTGTGAACTGTATATACTACCTTTAAGGTGAAAATACTCCCTTTGGCTTTACCTCGGGGGGAGTATATCCCTATGCCCCGCTGCTTCCCGAGTTCCCACCCTTGTGCTGTTATACCTTTAGGGGTAAAGGTTATGCTTATTGGGTCACACTGGGGAGCCCCTTTTGGATGGCAAGGGGGTGAAGGTGTCTCACGAAACCCCTTGTTCAGTGGTGCAGAGGAAAGCACTGTTAGACAAAATGATTGGAATGAAAAGGGGGGCTGAGGCTCTATCAGACACACAGCAAATACCCATGTTTATTGAGCTCCTTATAAACTTATCTTAGTAAAGGTTAAAAATAGCAAAAAGAAGTGAAACAAGGTAAGATGTTAAAACTGCCATTAAAACTCCAAATCAGCACAAAACTGCTACTGATCACAAGAACAGTTTAAAAAGGCATTTTTACTTCAGACTTAACCACAAAAGCGCCAGGATGTCTGTTACTGTTTGCCCATTTCCCCTAAGCTAAAACTGACTACTATTGTATAAGTAAGGGGGGAGATACAGGATACAACAGCTCACTGCCTCAGCAAGTGTTATCTCCAGCTACAACCTGGCGAGACTCACCAGCTATCTTATCTGTAAACATGACTGTCTGCTTTTAGGCAGATCTAAACATATTCTCAGAATAAGAAGCTTATAGCCACGTTCCTCAGGGAGCACTTGAGAATAAACTACTATGCTTAGGTACGGGGGGCTGCACCCCAACAAGGGGGGTTTTCTTTTTTTTTTTTACCTGTGTGTAATCCCCTCGTTTTGGGGCCTCCCACTAGATCTGACCGGTAGATGTACATTCCCACGACTCACAGAAATAAGTCTCCCCTCCCCCACATTTGTCTTTGAAATGTCCCGGACATACGTAGAAACAGCCTGGGTAGGGGTAGGTATCTACAAGTTCATTCATGTCCACTAAAAGTTCAGGGAACCAAGTGCCTCATGGGTGGATGCCTGAGGTCTGGTTAGCAATGGTTCCTGTGAGGGCATTTATGATTACCCAGGTTACATTTAAGGGTTGGTGCAAATCAGGGGATGATGTACACATAGGTAACAGCAGTAATGCCAACATGGTGTTGGCAAGGAACGCGTCAGCTTCAGCTTTAAGGGATTGTCTTCATCTCGCCGAACTTTTCATTGCGAAGTGAAGTCTTTTTTGTCAGCAATGGGTTCTGCAAGCTTGATGTGTGTGTGATGCACCCAGGAGGCAATGCTGTCTACTTTGAGAGCAGCGGGGGTTGTCAGGACAATATAGGGTCTTTCCCCCCAGGGCTCAAGTGTTTTTTGATGGTGTCTCTTCACATACACCCAGTCTCCAGGTTGGAACCTGTGGGATTCAGGAACTTGGTCAATCATGTAAGTGGCCCATAGAAGGTTCTAGTTTTCTTTTTGTACCTGCTGATAGAACTGAAGGGAAAGGAGGAAATTTTTATTATTTATACCTGTTATGTTGTTATGGGTGCCAGGAATAATGGGAGGAGGTCTTCCATAAAGGATTTTATAGGGAGTGATCCTAGGGTGTAGGGGGAGTTTCTAACTCTATATAGGGCGAAGGGGAGGAGAGATATCCAGTCTGCACCAGTCTCTAAAATCAGTTTAGATAAAATTTTTTTAGAGTTCGGTTCATTTTTTTTACTTGTCCTGAACTTTGGGGCCTATAGGCACAATGTAATTTCCAATTAATGTTTAGGAGGGAGGCTATCTTTTGCTGTACTTGGGAGACAAAAGACGGGCCATTATCAGACCCTGTTTGAGTGGGGAATCCATACCTTGGGATGATGTCTTCTCGTAGCCTTTTGTTTACCACAGCAGCCGTTTCAGTCTTGGTGGGGTAGGCTTCTACCCATCCTGAAAAAGTATCTATAAAAACTAAAAGGTATTTATATCCATATTTACCAGGCTTTATTTCAGTGAAATCTGTTTCCCAATATGTTTCAGGTCTGGTTTCTCTTTTCCTTGAGCCATGAGGTCCTGTGTTTATCGTGTTTCATGTTTTACATTTTGAAGTGATTGCTTGTGTTTTGGCTTTTAGGTTGAATACTTTTAGGGGAACTTTCTGTAACAGATCTTTTATTTTCCTTGGTCCCATGTGTGTGCTGTAATGAATCTGATGTATTAGGTCCAAGTCAAGCTTATCTGGGAGGATTTGTCTTTTGTTTAGTGTGTAGTAGTATTTTCTCTCACCATAGTGTAGGGGAACTTTTTGCTTTATCTGCGTCAGATCTTCTTTGGTGTATTCTGGGTTAGGTAAAGTGGGTGCAAGCATTGTAGGTAATTGTGTCACTAAGGTTAATGTCTTTGGATAGGGCAGGAGGGCTGCTTTTCCTGCAGCGGCATCTGGCAATTTCCTCTTGCTACTGGAGTTAGAGGTTTCTGGTGCCCTGGACAATGTATAATGGCTAGTCTCTTGGGTAGCCACAGGGCCTGAATCAAGTCTAAGATTTCTTGTTTGTTTTTGACAGTTTTTTCCTCTGCTGTTAACAGCCCCCTCTCTTGGTATATAGCTCCGTGCACGTGTGCTGTAGCAAAGGCATAGTGGCTATCAGTGTACACATTCAGTCATTTGTCTTTGCCCAGCCAGAGGGCTTGTGTTAGAGCTATGAGCTCTGTTCTTTGAGCCGATGTGCGGGGAGGCAGGGGCTCAGCCCATACTATTTCTGTCTCTGTTGTCATTGCTGCCCCCGCATACCTGTTACCATCTTTCATAAAACTGCTGCCATCTGTATACCAGGTGACATCTGCCTGTGGTAAGGGTTGGTCTCAGAGGTCATCTCGAATGCAATGGGCTTGACTCAGGATTTCAGTGTAATCATGAAGAGGTTGTGTCAAATCTGGATCAGGTAGTAGGGTGGCTGGGTTGAGGGCAGCGCTGGAACTGAATTGGACTTTCGGGGGGTTTAATAACAAAGCTTGAGAGTTAATCTGGCATTAGTCAGCCACCGATTGGGTGGTTATTTGAGTACTCCTTCAATAGCATGTGGTGTGGTCACCATTAGATCTTGACCCAGAGTTAGTTTATTTGCATCTTTAACTAGTAAGGCCGTAGCGGCTATGCTGCATAAGCAGGGTGGCCATCCTGCAGCTACAGGGTCTAATTTCTTTGATAAGTGAGCTACTGGTCTTTCCCATGGTCCTAAGGTTTGAGTTAGTACTCTTTTTGCTATTCCTGTTTTTTCATTTATATATAAGTGGGAGGATTTTGTTATATCTGGTAAGGCTAAAGCTGGGGCATGTAAGAGATCAATCTTTATACTGTCAAAGGCTTGAGTCATAATTTCAGTCCAGGTTAGGGGTTCCTGGCCTCAGGTTGCCTCATACAGTGGCTTTGCCTTTTCTGCAAAACCTGGAATCCATAGTCGGCAAAACCCTGCTGTCCCCAGGAATTCTCTGACTTCTCTGGGTCTTAGGCATGGGTATTCTTAGGATAGTTTCTTTTCTAGAGTCTGATAATCATCTTTGTTCCCCCTTGAGTATGTAGTCTAGGTAAATAACTTGAGTTTTGCAGATTTGGGCCTTTTGGGCTGAAGCCTGGTACCCATGGTCCCCAAGAGTTTTAAGTAATTCTTGAGTAACCTGTTGGCAATCCGTCAGGCTATCCACTGCTATCAGGAGGTCGTATACATATTGAAGTAAACTGACTTTAGGGTTATTTCTTCAGTACTTACTGAGGTCTTCATATAAAGCCTCATCGAAGATGGTTGGGGAGTTCTTGAAACCTTGGGGCAGCTGAATCCAGGTAAGCTGTCCGTTGAATCCATCTGTGGGGTCTCGCCATTCGAATGCAAACATAGGCTGACTCTTGGGGCCAAAGGTAGGCAAAAGAAGGCATCTTTTAAATCTAAAACAGTATGCCATTTTTTAGTGGGTGGTAGAGTGCTTAGCAGGGTATAGGGGTTGGGCACCGTGGAGTGGATATGGGCTGTTCATTTGTTGACCTCCCTAAGGTCTTGGACCGGCCAATAATCATAAGTACTTGGCTTCTTGACAGGCAGTAAGGGGGTATTCCAAGGTGATTGGCATGGGATTAGTATTCCTAGTTGTCCTAATCTTTTTATGTGAGGGGTGATACCTTCTGGGGCTTCTTTTGACACGGGGTATTGTTTTACTTGTATTGGCAGGGCCCCAGCCTTTAATTTTACTATCACAGGGGGGTGGTGTGCTGCATATCCCATGCCCCCTGTCTCTGCCCAAGCCTTTGGGAATTCTGATAGCCATGGTTCTAGTTCGGTTGGAATGCATGTTTTAGCTTGTCTTTTATGAAGTTGGTGTTCATCTGGTATTGAGACTGTCAGCACACATACAGGTTCCCTGTTGGCGTGAGTGACTTGGATCCCTTGTGGCTGGAAATGAATGTGTGTGCCTATATTTGTCAATACGTCTCTCCCCAGCAAGGGGGAGTCAGTCAGGTATGCAGTCAGGTATGACCATAAATGCATGGGACACTCGGCCAGTTCCAAAGTCCACTGTCCTTTGAGTGGTCCATGAGTACTGATTGGTTCCTGTCACCCCTTGCACTCATGATTTACGGCTTGATAGTGTTCCAAGTGATTGTTTAAGGATGGAGTGTTGGGCACCTGTGTCTACCAGGAAGTCTGCAGGTTTCCCCTCCACTTTTAGGGTTACCCTGGGCTCAGGGAGGGGTACTTGAACCCTGTCCCCCCTATTCATTTAATTCACCCAATTCCAGAACTTGGGCCGGGCTTTGGCATGTCTTGGCCGGTCGGTTGGGGCAATTATATTTCCAGTGTCCCTTCTCCCTGCAATAGGCGCACTGATCTTTTTCTAGAGGGGGTCTACTTCCTTCCCAGCCTTCAGGCTTACCTTCCATCCAGTGTGCTTGTCTTGGCACTCTACAGTCCACTCTCACCATGTTGGCCATCAGGACTTTGGCCAATTCTTGGGTATGTTTCTTGTTAGCTGCAATTAATGTCTTAGTTTGTTTGTCTATTGCTGTCTCCCAGTTGTTATACACTTTTTGTGCTACTGCCATAAGTTCAGAAATTGTCCTTTTACTCAGATTTTCCAGCCGTTGCTGCTTCCGACTAATGTCAGGTGCTGCCTGATTGACAAAGGTCATCATTACTGCAATGCGGTTAATAGGGTCTTCTAGGTCTATAGGGGTATATGTGCGATATGCTTCTAAGAGATGTTCTAAAAAGGCCCCAGGTGCCTCTTCCTTATCTTGTCTTACCTGACTGACTTTAGCCAAATTTGTAGGTTTCCGGGCTGCAGCTCAGAGACCTCCCATGAGAATCTGGCGGGAGACTTTGATTCTCTCCTTACCTTCAGGGGTGTCATAATTCCAGTCTGGGCAGGATAGAGGAAACTTCTCTGCAATTCTTTCTGGGTTTGAAGTAGGGTTTCTGTCATCCCCCGAAACCAGCTTCCGGGCTTCTGTCAGGATCCTTTCTCTCTCCTCTGTGGTGAAAAGAACTTGGAGGAGCTGACTGCAATTATTTCAAGTGGGCTGGTGGGTGAACAGAAGAGAATCTAACAGGTTAATTAAACCACTGGGTTTCTCGGAGAAAGGGGGTGTCTGCATTTTCCAATTATAGAGGTTGCTCATGGAGAATGGCCAGTAAACAACATTCTGACGTCCCTGTGTATCTGAAGGGCCCATGGCCCCTAAAGGGAGGGCCATAGAATCAAGTTCAAGGGCCATTCTATGTGCTCTATCTCTTAGGATTTTTCCCCTAGTAGTAAGTCCTTCCCCTCCCCCAACTCCTATGTGTGCCACAGGTTCTATTTCATTCTCACCCCCTGCTGGTTGGTAGGGGGGAGGTTTTGCTAGGAGATCTCCTTGTGGATCAAAGGGTGGCAGGACTAGGTAAGGGGAAGGGCTGACGGGAGCTGAAGGCTTTTGAAGCTTCTGGTTTTTGAGAGTAAAGATAGAAAGGGTCATGAGAAATGAAAGACTTTAGCCATGGAGCAGGTCTCTCCACTAAAACTTGCCAAATGGTGATATAGGGGACTTGATTAGGATACCCAGGTTCTCCACATATCACATCTTTAACTTTGTAAATCGTGGGACGATCTAAAATACCTCCTTCCGGCCACCGGACTTCAAAAGCTGGCCAATTTTTCTGACAAAGTCTGCGTAGCCTGTTCCTTTTTATGGATACCCCTAGGTTATCTGCTTCTTCCTTAACATCTTGGTAATGTTTAAGGAAGAGGCTCAAGGGGGTGCCCTGAGCCTGCCCCATATTTTTTTTTTAGTAGAATATCAGAAATGTAAATAAGGCTGCTAGGAAGTAGTAGAGGCAAGCTATAGCTACTCGTTCCCAGACGGACCAGTCCTCTGGGGCTGCACTACTAAGTCCAACACCAACTACAAGGACGAGTAACACAAAAATCACCAGCCCAGACCGCCCCACGCAGTGAGGGTTGCAAACTACATAAGAGCAGATATGTCAGCAAGGCAACTTCTGAAGGAGTAAAGTCTGACAATGTTCCTTGGAGGAAGAGGTCTGCTACACACTCACAAATGTCCTCTGGGGCACTTGTTCTAGGGCGAGACCAATCTCCCAGGAGACACTGGCAAAAATACTTGAAAGTGCAATTCAGGCAAAACCCGAAGGGCATTTTACAGATGCGGCTAAAGACTGGCTTCAGACCCAGTAGGTTTTTACACGGTGCTTGGGCGCCACCTAGTGGCGTAACTTGAATCAATGGCAAACTTGTGACACAGTTCTTCAAACGCGCATGCTCTTCTCAGAGCTCTTGTTTTAGAACAAAGACTATATGTCAAGTTTTCACCTCAGGACAGACAGCAGATTAAGGCGCAAGCCGCAAGCCGGCGCATGCCCCTTCCCCTTCTGGAGCTGGCGCCTGAACAAAGAGCTTCCGTAACTTGCACCCCAGGCTAGCTGCAAACACTGGAATTCAGACAAACAGGCTAGCAGCAAACACTGGAATTCAGACAAACAGCAAGTAAAAGACTAAGCGCGCATGCCCCCCCCCCCCCCCTTTTGGGAGCCGGCGCCTGAACAAAGAGCAAGGGGGGGCTGGATTCTCACACCGCCCACACCACCTCAGGCAAACCAGACAAACCAATCTCGGCCTAGTAGTGGCCTCAACTCCGTTCAGACACCAAACCAGACCAGTGGGCCTGTGAGAGCCAAACTAGCTCCATTTTGTTGTTTACAGCACAAGCTCCATCCTTGGCTGTTTACAGCACAAGCCCCATTCCTGGCTGTTTACCGCATAAGTTCCATTCCTAGCCCTTCCACCCCAACCTCTGCCAGTGAAACCTGCAGGGCCACTCCCTGCTGCCTCTCCCCCACCCCAGGTTGCACAGCCACTGAGCCGTAAACTGAGTCACCTTAGGCAAACAGCTGCTATAATAAACAATAAGTTTTTATTACCTTGAAATACAGGTAATCAGGCTGCACCAACTCTAGCCCCCGGTTAAGGGACCCTCCACCCCTCACCTGTACCAATCCAAATTCACCTTTACTAGTGAAATCATCAGCTACCAATGCAAATCCTCCTTTACTTCCTCCTTTACTAATGAAATCACCAACCACCAATAAAAAGTGTACTCATACTGGACCCTACCCTTCTTGCTTTCTGTACCCCATAAAAACTTGCTCCACCCTGGGTTCGGGGCTCTTCCTCGGCTTGCATGCCAGGAGCGTCCAGACCTGGGTTTGAATAAATCTCACCTCTTGCTTTTTACATCGGAGTGTGTCTCGGATTTGTCTGCTGGGCCCTTTTGGGAGAATTTTGGGCATAACAGGCCCGAGACCCACTTAGACCTCAGATACCAGTTTAGTGGAGTCAGCTCCACTTAGATACAATCCGACAGTGGAGAAAGCCTAGATGTCTCTAAAGCCTGCAGCCCAAAACCCTTCTCTAGCTCGTCCACCAGGTTTTTAGGCCAACAATACCAGGCGCCAACAAAACAGACACATTCACACACACCAAACTCACCAGCCGGTTCTTGAATCACTCCATGTCGGATGGGGTCTCAGTGGCAACTATCACGTCGAGTTCATCAGATGTTAAGGCCAAAACTAATTACCACTGAGAGTCCATACTCACACATGGAAAAAACCAAGGAGTTTATTCTTATCAAGCATATGCTTGGGTCACTCTCATGAGAAAAGCAGAAACAGCGGGGAGTGGCCCCAAAACAAAGGCCAGGGAAACTTTTATACACTTTCCCTGCAAAGTACCATGGGTTGCAATAAAATGCTAAAGAAGATAGCTGAGGAAGAAGCTAGTG